CCCATCCGGCCCCATAGACTTGTGTGTGTAGCAGGTTATGGGGGCTTCATTCTGCTCCCCATCCCTGTCTTCCAGAGGGCTGGGTACCCAGAGAACAACTGGTCTTACTATTTAAGACTGAGGCAAAGAAGGCATTAAGTACCTCAGCCTTTTCCTCATCCTTTGTCACTGTTTCCCCCCGCATCCAATAAAGGATGGAGATTCTCCTTAGCCCTCGTTTTGTTGCTAATGTATTTATAGAAACATTTTTATTGTCTTTTACAGCAGTAGCCAGATTAAGTTCTAGTTGGGCTTTGGCCCTTCTAATTTTCTCCCTGCATAACATCACGACATCCTTGTAGTCCTCCTGAGTTGCCTACCCCTTCTTTCAAAGATCATAAACTCTCCTTTTTTTCCTGAGTTTCAGCCAAAGCTCTCTGTTCAGCCAGGGCAGTCTTATTCCCTGCTGGCTCATCTTTCGGCACATGGGGACAGCCTGCTCCTGCACCTTTAAGATTTTCTTCTTGAAGAATGTCCAGCCTTCCTGGACTCCTTTGCCCTTCAGGACTGCCTCCCAAGGGACTCTGTCAACCAGTCTCCTAAACAGGCCAAAGTCTGCCCTCCAGAAGTCCAAGTAGCAGTTCTGCTGACCCCCCTCCTTACTTCTCCAAGAATCAAATACTCATCAGCATACACTCACAGACTGCATCAGTAAAGGAGATGGTCTGGATGTAATAAAAAGTATATTGTTCTTATTATAGCATATTATAACAACAACCTATTACAAATAGTCAGGAAATAATACATGGAAATATGTCAGTGTTGTAAAACAACTAAAGCACCAGGATGCACCAAGATGCATCAAACTATTTCCATCCCTTTGTTTTTATTATAAGAGAAAGAACAAACGATGCTATTGTTATGGCCTCTACCCTGCTGCAGGGTCTTATTCTCAAAGCTGGAAAGGGAGGAGGGTGCAAAGTACTTTCTACCTTTAACAGCAGTAGAAATAGCTCCCTCTATAGGAGAAGTTATAGATGAGGTGGTTTGCAGCGTGTTTAACATACCTGTTTGTCCTGGGAAACCAGGTGCTCCTTTATTGCCTGGAAGTCCTGGAAGTCCTCGGGAGCCTGGAGGACCTGGGGGACCTTGTGAGCCAGGAGAGCCTTTGAGACCTTTGATTCCAGGTGGCCCAGCTAGGCCCCTGTCTCCCCTCTGACCTTTAAAGCCTGGTAAGCCTGAGAAAAAGAGCTTTAATCTGTGTATGTAAATGCAGAAAATGGGTTTAGCAATTTTATCTAAAAAGTAGAAAGTGATAGATTTTGGTATAAATTTGAATATCATCAAACATGGCAAAATAACTTGGAAACTTTGCTACCATGCTGGAGTCCTGGCTCTGCCTAGATTTTTCACCTGGAATGTTTGTTTTCTTGTATTTCTTTAGTGAGAGACATATCAGTAGAAGCGCCCTGTGAAAATTCTTACTAATTCATAAATACTTTTGATATTTGTGTCTCCTAGCTCTCCCTAAATAACAGTTCCATTTAAGAATAAGGAAGATAAAAGTATCACAGTAAAGACAGGAGCTCAGTTAAGTTGCTGAGGACAACAGAGCAAGAGATACCTCTTCCGTTTATTACTTGACAGTGAACACACTGTGATTTGGCCAGTTAAGGAACAGTATGGGAAGGGAAGGAAAGTTGGGAAACATCTAAGATGCACACTATACATTCCTTGAGTTTAAGGAAATGCGCAAAACATAATGTACACCCCCACTAATGAGCAGCCTCCATGGAAATATTTGTCATGCCAGCCACAAAAATCATGTGATTAAATCTGCTAGAAAAGATGCGCAAAGCTTAGAGCTGTGAGGCAACCGGATGGATGTTGTGTACCTTGAGGTCCTGGCAGGCCCATGACACCTCTGAGTCCCGGTGGCCCTGGTAAGCCCGCATCACATGGTGGACCAGGGAAGCCTGGACAGCCTGGTGCTCCTATATCACCTTCTGGGCCTCTAAAACCTTTGGCACCTGGAAATCCTGGGGTACCAGGCTGTCCTGGAAACAAAAAACATTGTAAAATGTTTTACTTCCATTACTCACCATCCCTCAGAATTCCTAATTGTAATTTTGAAATTTACATGTTCAGTTATTGTAATATCTTACTTATCCTCTGGTTTTTGCATAGTTTGTGAAAACTGATGCTTTTCTGCAATTTAGAATTGGCTGTTGGGAAGAGCTTCTTTCTTTAAGGAACAAATACGAATTCAACTCTCACCTACAGGCAAGGACGACTTTATGGCACAAAAAGCTAGTTTCTGATGTGTAGGAGCAGAATGGAAGGAGCTCACTGGCCTGCACCAGCTACACAGCACTGGGGTCAGTTCTATCAGTGTTCCCTGCACAGAAGGGTGTGTGTGTCTGCTTAGGGCCGGGCAAAAGGAAGACCTATAAAGGGAAACAGCAATATCTGCTATGAAGTGGGAAGGAAGCGGCACTGTGGAGACATCTGCAGCAACCAGCAAAACTCCCCTCCAGAAATGAGGAGTGTAGTGCCCAAGATATTGAGGATTATATTGTATAACTCTGACTAAAGAAACTCACCCCTCTCTCCCTGAGTTTTCTCCCACCTTTTGCCAGTCTTTTCAGATTTGAGTAAGCAATCTGAGGCAGGGACTATCTGTGTGCAGAGCAGGAGGCCCTAAGCACAGATGGCCACTAGGCAGCAAGTAACAGGAGTAAGAATGGGAAGCTGCATTGTTACTCCATGGACTAGGTAAAGGCATCTTCCCCTTCTTGCAGTGCAGATCTCCTCAGTGGCTGATCGACCTTAACTGTAAAAATGTAAACATAAAAATAGGGCGTACCGTTCACAGTCACCATTATGGATCCAGGTAAGAGTAAGTTTTATCTGAATCAGGACTGACTTTGCTCAGATTTTCTCCTTTGAACACATGGAAACGCTTCATAAAAACTGCCTCA